AAAATATCAATTCTAAAATATCTGTTGGTTAAAAAATTTTTAAATAAAGAGTTATTATTGTTATTTGTAAACAATGTTTTAAATTTCAAATGTGCACTTGACACCTGAACGGTGCTCATCTGTTATGACAGAATTAAATTAACTATGATTCTCTTAAGATAGCCAAATGCCTCGTCATCTAATTAGTGACATGCTTGAATGGATTAACGAGATTCCAACTAAGCCTATCTACTATCTAAGGTGTAAATGTGATAGGTTTAAAATATTTGGAGTTGGTCATCCACCAGGACATCAGAGATATTAAGGGCCTCAACTAAAGTTTGGGGACCCATTATAGTTGACTAAAATGACGACAGTTTTAGTTAATTATCAAACAATTTCTTCACTTCCCTTTAACCAAATGTTTCTACTAATTATCATCACTGTACTCTCTCAGGCTAGTGTCAGTTTAAGCAAGCTCATATTTTTTCACAAAATGAATAGCCTTGAACTTTAGTGTAACAGGCTACTTACCTCGATGGATAGAGATTTTGACCAATGTTACTCGTTGTTGGGGTGAAGTACATACTTATCCAACAACACTGGATTGTATTTCACAAGTACCTGAAAAAAAAACCCATTAAAAATATTTTACTTTGATACTGTATAGTGTCAGTGAAAAACTTGAATGAATTAATTTGGTTATTTTCAACTTTACAAGTTATTACTACCATTCTTTTATCTAAGCATTCCAACACTACTGAAGCTGAACACGGCATCTTTCACTAAATATCCAACAATCTTCTAGCCTCTAGAGGGAGCTGTACAGCTTCATGATAGACATATGGTTGTGAGCTCTGTGACAGAGAACTTGGAAATACTTGTAGTTACAGATTTAATGTTTGTTTGCTGATAAATATCAATTTTTCTTTAGTTATTTTAATTACATTAGTTAGGACTTCAGGGTAACATCTAGAGGGTGAAACACTGTCATGTTTCAAAATTATGTACTTGATTGTGACTTTCAAAAGGCTTAGAAACACAAAGTACTCTACACTTGCAGATCTTGCTTACAGGATAAAGATGGGAGATGATGCTATTTGTGGAAGATGATGCTATTAAAGGGAGAAAGATGCAAGTTGGAAGCAGAAATAAAGGAAGCAAAACATGAAATGGACAGAATTAGGGAAAAGTTTAGGGTGAGCATGTGAGTGCCGTGTTCACAAGGGTATACATGTATTAAAAACATCTAGGCCATAAAGACAGGTTTGGTTAGAATTTCAGGTACCAGTCTGTAACAGATTTTGGCCATTGGATGCACACAGTAAAGAAGGAGATGGGCAAAAGGCTTATGTAGTGGAAGAATATTACCTTAAGTATATGGATGAAGTTATCTGTAAAGGGAAGAATAGGGACTAAGACTTAGAACTTGTTTCTTAGGTGCTAAAGTATATGATGTTCACAGTTTAGTCACTGCTATCAAGGAGCATTGTCTTTGTTTTAGTAGAATCAAATGATGTTGGAGCTTGTAAAGCAGTAGGAAGAGGAGTACAGCAAAGTAGCCAAGACTGAAAACGTAATCTGCCAAGTGAAGGAAGTCAAAAGTTTTTAGTAGTTTATATTTTAACAGCTGTGAAACAAATATGCATATACAACCTAAAGAAACTAACATACCCTATGCATAATAATTGGAAAAAAAGAAGCTTTTATGTGTGTATAAAAAAAAGTGCAAACATAAGTTTACCACATTCCTCAAAGAAAAAAAAACATGCTATAAGCAAGAACCTCCTGCTCCTATTGCCTTAAAACCAAGACTTTTACCGTCCATACTGATGCAATTTGGAAATTAAGCACAGATATATTTAGGACCAATAACAAAAGGTATTTCTTGATACAAAGAGTCATGAGTGTCTGGAATAAACTGCCCAGCCACGTTGTTGAAGCTCAGTCTCTGAGAACCTTCAAGAAACGGCTTGATGAGATTTTGGATCAACAACCAAAGATGGGCTAAATGGCTGACCTCATCTTATTTTGTTCTTATTTGTCAATTTTAATACATTCTATAATTGAGGTTATTTTCAGAACTGGCTACATAGTGGCTCCCCAGCACTTGATGAAAGTAACCCTGCTTACTCGGTACTGCTTTTCCCAGGTTTCTCACTTGAATGTCTTGAAGACATTCAAGGTACTGTACAGGTACTGTACCTGACAGTAAAGATACTTTTACCTTGCTGTTTCTGTCACTATTTTTCTAGACTACAGCACAACAACCTTATTTTCTTCTTCTTACCTTCATTTTTTTTCAGTCAAGTTCTCTTGACTGAAATTGAAGGATAAATGCCTCAGTACATGAAAGGTACATGCTTCCATAATTCAAATAGTGGTTACAAACAATAGAAAAAAAACAAAGTTCAGGAATGTCAGTTTTCTGTTCGTATGACCTCTTCTTTGCACTACTACCAACACCGTTTATTTTTTCCCAGATTTATCAATGAGGTACGCGTTATCTCTGCATTTCAAGAAAACCAGCACGACAAAACAACCCTCATACAGCCATGCGGTCAATGATAATGTTCGTATAAAAAAGGGAGAATTAACAGAAATGACATTCAACACCTAGAAAATTGTTTTATGCTACCACAGGATAACATTCAGTAGGGGTTTGATAATGTTGGTTTTGTATTTTTACGTTTTCTTCAATAATTTACGGAGAGAATTGTAAGAATAATAAATTCAAAGATAGTTTTACTTTTCTAACAGGGTGGGTGGTTTGTGGAATCCGTTGTTGCCTTCAGATGTAGTAGATGCAGTAAATTTGTGGTTTGTGGAATCCGTTGTTGCCTTCAGATGTAGTAGATGCAGTAAATTTAAAGTAGTTTAAGGAAAGATTTGAAAAATATTCAAATGATAAAAGCTGGCTCTGAGTTTTTAAAGTTTAGTTTAGTGGATGGTACCACCTCCGTGGTTCGAACAAGACCCTTGTTGGCCTTAAATGTTACATATTATGATATTACTAAACATTTGTTAAATTTGAAA